GTTGTATCACCAAAGACCCAGACATTATGGGGGAAAGCAGACGCCTACCCACTCAGGGACTTGGAATGTATAAGCACAGGACCTGAAGTCCACTTAACTCAGCACTGTGTGTCCAGTGATGGGACGTGTAGGCAGAGAGTACTAAAATAATGGCATTTCTTTAATGGCCTTTCCTCCATATATCTTCCCAGTTTCCAGAACCAGAGGTAGCGCTTACACCACCATGCTTATTCACTAATACTGCTCTTCTCTCTACCTTTTCTAGCACTACTATATCCCTTTTAAGGTGAGATTAGCAGGTTGAAAACAGGAAGGTTTGCAAAACAAGCAGGTGGCTTGTTCACCACAGCTATAAGCAACAGCCAATTTATATTTTCTATTCTTTTGTCCGTTTCTCTGCCGTTAGTTCAGATTTGCCTTGATGGACCCCCCCGCAGGGCATGTGCCCATGGTCCCACAGAACTAAGCAGCATGACTCCACTAATCTGACTCTGACGCGCCATGAGCGCATCTATATTTAAGGTTCTTTGCTCTGAACGTACATTTATTCCACAAATATCAGTTCTGGACATTCTTTGTCCTCATTTAGCTATTAAACGTTATTTGTGTGATCCTGCTGCAACTCTTAGCAGAGAGTTTTAGATCTCATTAGCCTTCATAAATCTTGATCCTCCACAGCTTTAGCCAACTAGCTCTTCACGTTCTTTTGCAGAACTTTTTTATAAAAACGTTGAATATCACAAATCCCAGGACAGAGTCTTGGGACACCCTTACGGTAACCTCTCTCCACTGTAAAATGTGACCACTTGCTCCCTCCAATCCTTGAATCGGGTACTCACCAACAAGCTTTACAACTATGAGCATTTGTTAAACTCCACCTAGGGAACTTCTTGACAGCTTTTTGAAAATGGAAGTAGGAGGTACCAAGGGACTACACCCACCTGCTTGCTGAGCATTCCAAGAACTCAAGTCCATTTTTGAAATTTTGCCCTTCTCTACATTCCATCTTAACCCTTCCTGAACTAGGAATTTGAAGGAAACCCCTGCTCCAATAAGGGAAGCTGGGAGAGAAAGGGAGAAACACACACCAAAAGAAGCAATGCTGTAAAACTTTCCACTCTGTTTTTTCACCCCACGTAGTCTGTAGGCTCTATCTACAAGGAGTAGCAGGTAGTGGAGGGCATCAAGAACGCACTGGTAAAGAGACATAGTCGGTACCAAGGTCCCAAAACACACCCGATGTCTGTTTGGAAGAGGGCTGCTCCGGACTACTTGGTGAATCTTGCCTGGACCCTTGGACTTAGTGCTCATCAGTATTTGGAAAATACCAGGTACAGTCCCCAGGAAGAACTTTCAGTTTAGTTATATCCCAAGGGATTCGATTTTCACATTCCCAGATTGCTGCAGGACACAAAGTGACACACAACTAAGGTTCTGAAGTAAGTGGTTCAGTCCTTCCCGCTTACGCCTGAGCCAAACAAAAACTCTAATGTAGATGCACTTATAGTAAAAAGAAGCGTAAGATCAAAAGATTATCCTTTTATTGCACTAATTATAAATCGTGTCATTCCTTCATCATAAAATAAATCTGCACTTGCCCCTTTAAACCTTTGAAATCTATTGCTAACATCTTTTGGAAAAACACACACAAAAACTAAAAGAGATTAAAAAGCAGAACCGGAGGTATCGAGCTGCTATTTTTCTTCACCAATGTGTCTTCTGAGGGGTTAAGCATAGAAGACAAAGAACAGCATCAAAGCTATGTTTGGAATAGTGTGGGTGAACGAAGGAACAGATGGAAAATCAAATTCTTGATTTATCTGGACCCGTTTCAAGTTCCAGTGCTGACAGCAAGTGACTGGTCCCTCTTGGTGAAACGTATGTGCAAAAAGATGACCCCCATTCGACAGGTTTTGTGTATTTCTCACAACTGTTTTTTAGCAATATGTTATTCTTCGAGAGCCAAAACAGATTCGTAGGAATGCAGAGTTCGGATGAAGGTGGAGTTTCCAATTTTACAAGCCTCGGTGCCAAGACATTTCAGAGACGCGATGTAAGGTAGGCAGGATAAACCACCTCAGCCCAGGACTTTCCCTTCTCCCTGCTCAGCAGCAGGTGGCAGACAAGGCACATTTTATGTATTCCTTAATCTTTTCCCCCTTATTTAACTGAGAACTTTCCAGGTTTCACAATAAATGGAGTCTGACAGTTTTAGTTTATTTTAGTAATAATCACAAGACGATCTTTTCTGCAAATACAATAAATGTTATCCAAGAGTAATTTGGAGCAATCAGTATTGATATTTATACCATGTGTGTTGATTGAAAAGCTCTTGGCTGTAAGAACGGAATATGAATATATCCAGGATGTTATGAATACGGTCGTGTGGGAGCTATAAAAGTGAGTTTATTATAATTAGTGGAAAAATAGTCTTCTTACAAGTTAAAAAGAGACGAGGAATCGATACCATTAGCTCCAGCTGTTTAGCTAGCTTTTCTCAGTCTATTCCTTGGTGTTCTTCTGTTCATTAGCATACGCTGCTCTTTAGCATTTCAAAGTTGGGTTTTTTTCCATCTGAATGTGATTTTTGGAGTGTGCAAGACAGACTTTCAAAAGGACAAAAAGAACCAAATCAGTGACAATGAAAAAAAGAAAAAACCCTGCGGTCAGCTGGCTAACGCTGGATGTAATATTACACCTCACATCCTGCCCGTTCAAACCATCAAACAAGAGCTGTCCTGTGTAATGTGGCCTAATGAACCCCCAGACCCCCAGGTGGAATATCCTTGGGTCTCTTCGGGCCTGGGATAATTAAAGGGTGTGTTGTACAGCCATTAGCCAGCCCGCAGAGGAAGTCGGGAAGTGAATCTTTCCCCAAGTCACCTCCTCTCCACCTTTCAAGACTTGGTCACACTGTTGGGTAGGCTGCTCCTGCCTCCAGCAGAAGTCCTGCTCTGTGGCGTGGTATTCTCTCCTAAACGAACTGCTAATTTACCATTTTGCATCTATGTGCCATTTTCATGTGTGTTTCAGAAAGAAAATTCCTGAATAGACCTTACACTGGTAGACCCAAAATACAGAACTAATAGAGAGATTTATTCACAAACTATGGTCTGAACAACTATAACGAAAGTATTATAAATTATCCAGCCCATAGCAAAGAAAACCATGCAGAAATCATGGCAGCCAAGAAACTTAAAAGTAATTTAAGAATTCTGCTAGTGACATGGCACCAATATTCTCCACACACACAGAAACCTTGCTCATTAGATGTTCCTTCCTACGGAGAACCATTTGGTGGGCTAACAAGAGTCCAACAGATCAGATGTATCTGCTTGACACATCTGACAAGGAGAAAAGGACTCTTAGAGACTCATGCGGTGTCTTTGTAGGAACTGAACTTTTAGAGGGCATAGAAATGTATTTTTTCTGATGCAAACTTTTATGTGTCTGATAATTCACATGATGTTTTACTCGCACTCACAGCAAAACTGCCATCCTACTACACTGCAAATGGATGTATTTTGGGGTCCCACTTCTTAGACAGACACATTAGCATAAAGAGCTATTAAGTTCAGTCTTCTCAAGACAGTGGTTTATTGCTTTTCATTAAGGAAAGGACATCAGAAAAACTCCACTTACATCATTCCGTAAGTTTTTCTGCTCCTAGGCTTGGTGACATTTTAAGACATGCAAGCTCTATTTTATTCACCAACAGTAATACTTAATTCCTTGGCAATGATGGGAAATAAAGCAATTAGATAAATCATTTTTTAAGTCAACACTGGTGTCTTAGCATAACTAAAGTTTGGCTTGTGAATATACACAATTCTAAAGCATTTGGAAATCCACAGTCCCATGTGAAAATATTAATTTATATTTAAATTGCTAACTGCTTACCCATCCCAACAATATTAATATTAACAGCGTGACATTAACTCTGCTGAATTTGTGATGTAGGTCAGTTACACGTGGAGTTGCCAAACCGCAGTTGGAAAATATTACTTCACCAAAGAATTAGCCCTGGTACAGCAGCGAAGAGCGGAGCCACGTGGCCTAGCACGTGGCAGCCTGGCGCCACCGCCGCACGCAGAGCTGTTTGCGTGTATGCGTACATTTCTGTCGCGACTCTGGCTCGGTATCAACACGCTCTCCAACACGCACTCCCCCAGCAACGCGAACGCGCACGGCACGTGCCTTCTCTGAGGTCTCTCCTTGCGCTCCCTGGCAGCATTCATTGCCATCGGCGCTTCCATGCCTTGTCTCCAACAAGGCCCAAAAGGCTGAACTTAGCTCGTTAAATATTTGACAGAATATTGCCGCTGCGGGTTAAATCTAACAATTTAAACTTAACAGATAGTAACGATATATTAATAAGAAAATATCTACCTTTCCAGTAAAGGACTGGAAAATAAAATGAAGCAGTGAACTACTTAATGCCCAAAGCTTCTGATTAACATTACTGCTGCTCCACAGATGTGGAGCTAGAAAACATCCACACGCTCTCACGGCTCAGCACTTTTCCTTGCGTCCTTACCGCAGCTGCAGTCTGATGCCTCTAAAAGGTAAGTTTACTTCACTGTCAGGTTTAAAGTTCTATTAATCTATGGCTGGAGATTTCATTTTCAGTTTTAACAACAGTCTAGACATATGTGCATCTCAAACAGGGATACGGAAAGTTCTCTGATGAGCAAGTCAGCTGGCCGTGCTTGCTCTTGCAGCGAGGCAGTCACTCACCCGTGGGCTTTAAGGTCTGTAGCACAGCCTCAGACCACTTTGTGGAAGGAAAAGTGCTTTTAAAGGAAAGTCTGTCTGAACATGTGCGTGTGTGTAAATTCAAGTGACGGACAGAAGAGAAATAGGACTGGTGTGGGTGACATGCCTAATAAAAAATGACTAATGATCAATGATTTTCTGCCTTCACCGGTAATTTCTTTCAAAATGTAAGGTAAATTTCTCATTCTGACATTACAGGGAACTTCAGGGGAGTTCTTGCTTACCTTTCACTGGACATTCAACCATAATAGTTGCTCCAATTCTTGCCACGATTGTACCTCCAACAACTGCTGAGAGATTGCTGGCTTCCAGATTTGTGACATTTAACACAGAGGACAAGATGACAGGAATCTCTGAAATTGAAAGGATAACCAGTTTTAAAAGCTTTATTTGACTTTTAAACATAGATCCTGTGTTTAAATTCAGCATGTTTGGAGCAGAATTCAGTTTGCAAAGCAGCAGCCGAAGAGACAGGTGGGATAGACAGAAGCAGACTCAGTTCCCATCTGCTGTGGTGTTAGAGCAACGAGGCCACCTTACTGCCACCTGTTAGACCCGGCAGCTTCAGGGATTGCCAGCACAAGAAACTATTCCGCACTGGAGTGGGGACGGGTGGTTATATAGGTAAAAATAACAATACATGCCCGATCCCATGGTTGCTAAAGTCTTACCTGCGCGCAGCAGCAACGATGTTTCCATATCAAAGCCGAAGTCATTAACCACCAGGCATCCATATGTACCAGCTTCCTTTGGAGTAGGATTCTGAATCTGCACTTTCCCAATGGTGTCCAGGATCACCCTGCGGGATGTTCAGGGAGACATGAGTTACTACCCTCGGACAATCCCAGCTGACTCTTCTTGTGAGAGCTACAGATACAGCAGCAAACCTCGTTTTTTGACATTTTGCGCTCTAGAACAGCGCACATTCCAACAGCTCTGCCTCCTCTTCAGTGGCAAAAGGGGAGCACTAAGCAATACTTGCATAGAAGATTCTGCAGCCCTTTGGAGGACAGAGAGTTTGCTACTACAAACCAGAATCCCTCGAGAATAAATCAGACTGCCACAATTAAAAGTATTAGGCTTGGCAAGAACCTCATTTCTCCAGAGCCAGCTTGGTTTTCAGCTGGACTGGTTAATTCACAAAGGTATGGTCTAACCTGACTCCCAAATTACTGGTGTGTTTTGCGTTTGGGTGTTTTTGGCGGGGTTTTTTTTGCTATTATCATCATTAAAGCAAAAGTCTTTCCACCAAAAAATCTGAAGATGTCTTGAATAGTTTGCCTGCCACCTGAGAGGCAAGATAGGCGGGAGCATCGCAGGCTGGGGGAGAGGCTGAAAACAGCAGCCTGGACTTCCCCCCTTGTTACCTTTCACAGTACTAAGTCAGGAGTTACGCCACACATTCATCACATCCAAAAAAACCCTGTAGCCCTGGCATTCTCCCACCCTGAGTACACTTGGAAAAGTGAGAGAGACACACAAATACTAAAAATACCGCTGCCTCAACAAGAGAAGCCGCCTCAGGCATGGCCTTTCACAAACCCAGCCGGCAGCCAGCCCATTTACCTCCCCACGTTCTTTTTCAGATGCAGTACTGTTAATGTCACTGGCCTCCGAGTACACCAAAGAGAGAGGGATTTATGTGTACAAAACCTTCCTGTAAAAAAACCAGGAACAAAACCTCCTTTGCCAACGTATCCCTTAAGTGCAAGAGTATCAGTCTGGGCTAAAATGACAGCAATTCATGGAAGCAGACATTGGGAATCAAACATACTCGTGAATAAACAAAACACCAGCATGTCCAAAAAATTAAAGTATCACTTGCAACAAATTAATGGGAAATTATACGTATTTCACAAACTAAACATAACTGATGGGAGCTACATGGTTCCAAAAACATTTGCCCTGTTAAAAATGGCTTACTTTTGGTGTCTTTGCTTTAATTGATAGCCCTGCAGAAGTATATTTTTCTTGGCAGTGAGGTTAATCAGTTAAGTATGTTGAGAAATACCCCAAAGCACCTTTATCATTTCAGAATCGTTTTTTTCATTACTCAAGAGCTAGCTATAATTCCAAGAGGCTCACACACTAAGATAATGATAATATTATCAGGTGACCTTCTAATTTATCATCAATGAAGTACCAGTATTTGTTCAGTCTTGAGCAAGTATCTGAATGCAACGCACGCTTGCTGTACTTGTCCTTCAGGTATATTCTCAAAAGTGATGGTAATACAGGTTCTTTATCATTTGGTACTCCCCTGTCCTCAACAGAAATATTTGAAATTCTAAAGTATCGGAAAAAAAGTCCATAAAAGAGAATTCTTTCTTTTTAAACTGAAGTTCTGCCGCTACAGTTATACCCAAAGATGTCTGAGTTGAAGGACGGTGAGGGTGCCAGTGATATTTTCCCTCCTTAAAATGAGCAAGGACTAAGTCTTCATCTACGCCATAGCAGAAGTTTTTAATGTGCTCCCACAGTATCTGATATATGAACAAATCCAGGAGCCTTCTGAATTTGAGTATAAATGTGTTCCTTTTCTGATGCAGCTGAAATGATTCAGGCAGATCACAAAATACACAGTTAGGACATGTGAAACACTTCACCTTGTAGAAAGAGTCATTCCTCCCCCATAATATCACGGAAACGGTCACACATGGATGTTAGTAAAGTCAAACAGACACTTGAAAAAAACCCAGAATTACTTAAATAAAAAGATGGAAGGGGCAGGGTTCATGCTTATCTCATTGTAACAACAGTATGTTTTAATACTGCACAGCAGGGCGGATTTTTACAGTTGTTAGCGACATAGTCAGCCGTTCAGAAATAACAGAGAAGATGTTCACTTACTTCTCAGAGGCTTTTAATGTCTCGCCATCTTTCGTCCAAGTGTATTTCACGTCAATGATACCAGCTGTTTCACACAGGAGATTGACAGCACGTGTATTCTTGGTCAGAAAAACCACATTTCCAATTCTCACAGTTACTGTTTCGTTGAAGGAAACTCGAGGAATTTCCTTTTGCCTCATAATAACTGGAACCTTCTGGTCAAACGTTAACTTATCAACAGTTTTTGTGCCGAAACGTTCAGATCCATTAGGTGATTTGACTGTGAGTTTTGAGGCAAGCTTCTCATCCTGGGCCCCCTTCCACTTTTCAGTAGTGGGTTGTGGAGGCCTGGATAATTCGGCAACTAACTGATAAATGACCTGGGACGCCAAGTCATCACTGACTTCTCCATTTTCAATGAGCTGACTCATGTTCCTGATGAGTTCTTCAAACTGCACAGTGTCCATGCTGTAGGCGCCTTGCAGAACTGCTGCCTCCAGTCGCTTATTCTTGAATTCCCGAGAGCCGAACTCTTCTGCCGAATTACCCCCTAAGGTGCCCAGATTCCGCAGAAGCGGCTGATCGTTGACTTGCCTGTCACCCAGATAGAGCTCGTTCTTCTTACTCCACATTTGCCACATTTTGCTCATTTTATGCCATTTGGCCCCGAAGCTGTTGGCCTCGTTGTGATCTGTGTTACTGGTCTCACTGGCCTGTTTTCTAAGATTTGGTGGTTCGATCAGTCGGTTGTTGGTACCAATGAGTTTGAGCACAAATGTTTCGTGCACGGAGCCTGCAACACACCGGTACACACCAATATCAGTAGCTTCCAGACTGTGTATTTTCAGCGAGCCTGACTTAGTGATGCCAAGTCTTTTAGAGTTTTGTAAGTGCTGTCCATCTTTCTCCCACCGGATAAGGGACTTCTGGAACCTTCGTACAGGGCACTTAATTACAACAGATGTTTTTGGAAGCAAGTAGGCACGGCTTCCTATGGTAAAATTGATGCGCTTCTCCTGTCTCGTTTGAATATAGACTCGGTGAATGCTGACAATCTGAGGTCCATGAGCAGAATACTTTTCTGGAAGCTTTGGTTTAATCTCTGAAAGAAAACAAAGTGCTGAAAAGTATCTAATCATCGGCGCTCACTCTTACAAAATCTGCTTTTCACAGGGCGCTTGACAGAGCTTTTCCTGACTTTGTTCAAGTCACACTGCAACACGCTGAGCTTTTATCCGAGTCACAAAAATGTGAAAACATGAACAACGTGAAACCATAGCATTCCCCTGCACTAGCCAAGAATTCTAGTACTTCTTCCCCCAGTCTCCTAACAACAGAGAGATACCAGCACCTATATGAAGGACATACATGGTGCACACACCCTTAAATGTATATATCGAGGTACTATATAATACACTAATTAACACTGTATGTAATGCTACTGTGGTTATATTTCCTCTATACTTCCTATTGCTGCCTCAGAAAGAGTAAGCATGAGGGGAATGGAAAATGTGAATCAAAAAACGTGAACCCGTTACGACCTTCCCCACATTTGAGCAGTGCCAAGTGCAGAATGACCCAAAAAGAACCAGGCCTAGCCAAAAATTAAGGCTCCCCATGACTGTTATTTAAGTTGCTGGCTGGCCATGCTGGTTTGAGTCAAGCCAAACTGATAGCAACGTAGGAGGTGGAAGAAACAGCCAACAAAGACGTGGTACAGGCAACAAGCAAGGCCAACCCGTAATCATTGGCGGAGGGTAATTTCTTTGGGTCAAAAGAGGAGTTGGTCACAGTGTTGTGCCAGGAAAGCAGGGAGGGAAGGGAGGAAAGAGAAGTAAGTCAAAATTTGGAGGGGTCGAATACAGCAATCAGATGAATCGACAAAAGCAGACAGTAAGCACATAAAGCTTTGTGCAGACCGGGTGTGGAGACAGTGGGTACTGCGAAGCTCCTCCTGCCTTGTACAGCAGGTGCTTGGATGCCTATCGGTTTCTAGGGAGCTGCTGGAATGAACGCCACCACGGGCAGGCTCTCCCAGCGTGGCTGGACAGCGCGCCGGAGCCCACAGGAGAACGACGTCTCAGACACCACGGCGTTGGCAACCGCTGGGCCCCGCTTTGATCAGCACAACTGATCTTGCTAAGAAAGCACGAGGTAGGTGAGGAACAAAGCGCTGCAGGAGGCCTGGAGCAAGGGCACGCGCCCCCGAGCTCATTCCATGCACGACGAAACTGGCCAGCTGGGAAGAGTCGGGAAACACTCTGCCTTGGTGCTAGAGAACAACCCAGTTGCGCCCGGAGACCCAGCCTGCCGGCATGCGATGGAACCTAAAACTCAGAGCTGGCAGAAGGAGTTGATGAGCCAGGAAACGGACACACGGATCAAACCGCTTCTCGGCGTGCCGGCATCTGAAGTCATGAGTGCTCTTCCACTGGGCAGGCACAGAAATAAAATGACAACTACACTGATGGCACACCAGTGACATCTGAAAAACTGCACGCTTCTTATATGCATGCGCTTCAAATAGGCTGTGAAGAAATAGGTGAAAAGCTAAATGCTTGAAGCATTCAATAAGCGTGTACACTCTACGAACTACACCCTAGAGTGCATTCTTATGCTTATAAAACAAAATGGTTATTTTCAGTGTTTGGGGTAATGAGTTCAGACCTGTGGGGATATCACGGTTTCATAATTACACAGCTTTTACATCAGTATTCGTTATCCAGACACACGGTTCCCTCAACCATCTCACGTGCTACAACAAATAAATCGCTTTGGGCACTCAGTTTGCTAAAACTATTGAAGTAGCGTCCTGTTTTTAATAAGTTATTGGGCCCCAAATATTTATTTTTAGGGAAGCATTCCAGTATTAAATCTTCCCCTTCCAAAATCCAACTTACAGACACAGTAAGTGTAACTTTAAACACACAAATTAAAATACTTCAGGCTGCGCTCTGTTTACACTAGTTATTCCAACACGGAATTAAACCCAGTGCATACTTATAAATATGTTAACAAGTCTCATCCATTTCATACTTTAAAAAAAGACAGACCACTAACGCTCATTAGCAGTTCAACACTAAGGGGTGTGTGCATTTTTACTGGTGACTGGTGAGCACGGCTAGGAGTGAAACAAAGTTCAGAGCTGCCGATGGCAGGCCACATAAATACATAAGGTCGCGTGAGTATACGAGGCCACGCAAGTGTGCATTCTCTAGTCATCCAGTCTTGCAGCAGGCGAGGTAACGGACTGCTTGGGAGAGGTTGTTTCCCACAAGGTCAGTCTTGCTGAAGGAGCCGTTGGCCCTCACGCTCACCTGGTACAAACGCGAGCCCATGACCTCGAATGGTCCTCCGCAGCTTTAGCTGGGCGCCAGGTTCTGGTGACTCAGGGCTAGACTGGTGTGATTCTTATTTCTCAGAGCCCACAGTCAGGAATGTTTCTGACTTAATAGGGCTCATTAAGTAGAAAACAGCTACGATTACTAGTCCCCGGGCAAAAGATTAAGTCTAGAAAGCCTCAGCACTGTCATGAGGCAGTAAAAAAGGAGCTATCTGGGCAACAGAAGCATCTTGAGGAGGCACATCCAGAAACACTGCTCCCAAAGGCAAGAATCCCTGCCAGCACGCGCGCCACACACCAGACTGCTCTCCACCGAGTCCGCTCCACTCTGCGGCTTGCCCATCCCAGGGCCATGCCACGTTCCTGCCTTCTGTTCACTGCCCCTTCGAGGCAGCCTGAACCCATGGCTGCAGGAGGAGGAGATGCCTCCTGCATGTCCCCCTGAATCCAAAACCTGTTTCTGCAAAACCCAAGCTGGAACTCTGGCTACGGACATGCCCCACTCCTCCCCGTGCCCTCCTGTTCCCTTGACCATGAACCGCTGGCAGATCCAAGCTGTAAGCGCTCCCTGGTTCCAAACGGCTGTGGATGAAGTGAGGGGCCAGCGATTGTCTCTGCACCCCCTCGGTACAGCCGCATTCCCTCTGCCATCATCCTCTGTCCTGCTTTCCTGGCACCGTGGTGGAAGCTGACAACGTAACTTTAATATCAGTCTGCGCTAAGCAATTTGCAACCCAGCTACTCTGCCATTCAACTCTCCACAATTAATTAAATTCAGATAGATATGCAGCTCAAAATATTTTATTAAACCTTATGCCAAGGACATTCCTGAAAGTCCACAGGGCTTTATTTAAGTGGAGTTTTGAACCTCAGGATTTTGGCATGTTAATCTGAAATGCAGGCCAGGAAAAGAAGTTTCATATTATGTATGAATCAGTAATTATTCTATTTCTTATTTTGTTTTGTGAATAATTTTTAAAGCAAAGCTTCAAAACGTATAAAGTAGCTATTTCTTGACAGCACTACGAATTGGGTCAAAACATGTCTATCTCTGTGATCAAAACCAGGCCATGCATGAAGGCTTTTGGTTTTCACCCACCTCAAAACTAGAAACTCCCCTTTTTTCCCTTCCTTTCAGTGCCCTGCTCCCCAAACCTACAAACTAATACTCTCCTTTACACAGGAAGGAGAGCACAGGTCCAGACACAGGGAACCTGCATTTAGAACAGCGTGTTCTAAATTACCATCCGTAACTGAAGACACCCTGTATCAGTCAGGTATTTCCATCGGTGTTGGGCACATGCAGTTAGTGCAACTGCCGTCGCTATCATAACCCGACTGTGTCCAAATCGTACAATTGCTACAGACAATCTCTCTGAAAAGATCTTTATACAGACAATAATAAACCACTGGATGTTTTGAAGAGGCTCTGTATTGTCATCACTTCCTGGAAAGCTCATGAGACTGGGATTCTCATTTCTACGAGGGAAGATAGAAATTATACCTAGAGTTATCACTGGCACAGAGTTTCAGGTTTTGAATTCCGCCACACTAAGCAAAATGTCCAGTGTAATACAAATGTACAGTGAAAAGACAAGCCAGAACTGGATTCTTATCTTTCCTTATGTCCTTTGTAATTTATACTCAATTTATAGATGTTTTTATTTTTTGCAGTCGGGATAGTGTAAAGGATAAAGGGAAAATCAGATGAAATGTAGGTAAGTATTAGGATGAGAGGCATGTACTATTCGAATGTGTTCAAAAACTACTCCTTAAGATCATAACCTTTATTACTGACTGGCAGGAAAAATAGAAAATTAAAACAATCCTGTTATTACTGGTCTAGTAATTATGACACTCGGTTCGTGCCAGATTAGTAATGTTGTGAAAGTACCGGGAGATGAGTGAATTAACCTGTATACCGATTTTTCCTTATAAACAGATCGTTCCAAACCAGCAAGAAGCTGCACCAGGTCACATACTTACTGTTGCAGGCGCTCATCTGACAAGACCTTACAAGCAGCGGCGGAGACAGACCGCTACACATTGATCCGTTTAATGTGACATATTGGCCCTTCGCTGTTAGGGTTTGGCAGGCAAGTTTCCTTCTCTGGATTCCAGCACCGCAGCTCACTGAGCACTGTGAAAGGAAGGATGCAGTCAAGCTAAACGTGGAGTCCCACACCACACATGCTAATTTTTAACTAGGTTGGTGGAGTTTTTTTTTTTTTCTTCTGAGAGAGCGAATACGCTCTACTTCATATGAATCTTTGTGTTATCCAGACATTAGACTCTCTCCACCTCTCCAGGCAGTAAGAATATAAGATAGATACTTTGTTCCAGCAAGCAACTCAGGAACAACTAAAATAATAACATGACAGTATTTCTTTATGCCCAACCATGGGGAGAACAGAGCAGTGAGATCTAGCATCTGAGAGGAACAATTCAGCACATTCTAAACAGACTGTGTCAAGTCTCTCAACCCTCTCTCCTGGTTTGTACCACACGAATCTTTATTTGCAGCTTCCAAAATCACGTCTATAAATCTTTTTTTGCACTGCGAGTGGTAGCAAGTTTGCATTAAATGGGAAAGAGGACACATTCCAGAATAATGCAAAGATTGGCTTTTTGGAAGCCCTATTATGAAATAATTGATGGCTAAACACGTCTGGTAGAAGGCACGCAATGCATTACAGCCCGTCCTTCAGGAACTGAACCACAGCTCAGGAAGGGGGAGGTGATCAGTCTGACTGTAGGCAGGGATGCACAGCAACTCCATGCACACTTTAGTTCAGGTATATTCCTTGCTGAACCTTCAGCTACCCTATAGATTTATGGCTCCAAACACCTTATTCACCCAAGCAGAAATCTTCCGAGCTCCTGTTGCAATTGAAGGTTTTGGTTCATCCTTGTTGGGGGCTGCTCACCTTGGACCATTCTCCTACGACTAGCTGAGGAGGGCAATCAACTTTTGCACATGGTTTACTAGTTGGCAATTTCAGCTCCTGGCAGGTATCATCAGAGTGCTTCAGGAAACTTCCGTCTGTCAACAGCTGCTTACAGTACACTCTGCGGGTCTGAACCCCTCCTCCACAAGTACGTGAGCACTACGGAGAAGAGGAGAAAGCAGCATGTGCACCTGCATAGACATCTGTGCTCACCCATCACGCTTACTCCACACAAACACTTTAAGCTCCCCGCATCCACCCCCCAATTACGGTCTCTTGAAAAATGACACCCACTTTTAATTAAAAAGCAAGTAGCATGCAGATAATTCTTCTGTTAAAATGTTCAGCTAATGCACTAGAGATGACGAACCCCAATTGAAAAGTCACAGCACCTGAATGCAATTAACTAGTAGAAATCTTAAAGAGAACTGTGCACCTTACACGTAGATCTATCCATGTCCCACATCAGCTAATATTCCTGGTGGGATTTTAGGGAACTTTGTCCTTGGGACAAAAAAAACCCTTCAAGAGGCGGAGTTTGCAAAAGCAGGTCATTGTGTTTGCAGTGCACAGATGAGAGGGGATGTTGGGTGTAACTGGTACCCAGTCTTCTGCAGTTTTAAAAAGGACTTCCCACCTCGTCCTGTGACTACCCACTGGCGTAACAGCCAACAGTAGTGCTGTTGACCCTGGAGTACTTTGTTCTAACGAAATCAGTTGAAACACTGAATGTTCCAAAGTGTAGGAGCTGCCTTCCATGTCATTCCAGCCAGCGGATGGCAAGCACCTAGCCAGAGGAACACATTTTAACTCTCTCCGTAAGCCAGCCATACCTGCTGCCACTCCTCGACGTGCCAAACAGGGAGACAATCAATCTGGTTACAAGCTTGTAAAGAATGAGGCTTTTTGTCCTTGCAGTCTTCTGCAGCAACAGCAGATCCTCCCGGCTGCTGGCAGTACACCTCCCTCGTCTGTATCCCAACCCCGCACGTCGCAGAGCAGCGTCTCCAGGGACCGCTCTGCCACCTGTTCCAGAGACAGACAAGAACTCGCCTCAGACCGAGGAAGGAGCCATCGTACCCGTGCAGACCCCAGCAAAAAGGAACTGGATCGTTACTGATAGATGGCTAAAAAATCCCTTGGGTTTGGCTGCAGTGCAGAATTTTAACTCGTTTTACAAACTTGCAGGTAGCAAGGAAACGCAGAAGTTATTAACAGCAAAGCAAGAGTCACTACCAGACAAATTCAACTCCAGCATTTTGGACGTAAGAAAGAAGTTCTTCACCGAAAGGGTTATCGTGCACTGGAACAGGCTGCCCAGGGAGGTGGTGGAGTCACGATCATCCCTGGATGTGTTTAAGAGACGGGTGGATGAGGTGCTGAGAGAGATGGTTTAGTGGCGGACAGATCTGGTTGGACTGGATGATCTCTAAGGTCTTTTCCAACCCAGTGATTCTATGATTTACTCTCAGAATGCTCCTCACAGCAAACAGCCTGTTGGCAACCTGCTGACATTTACATTTTTTAGTGTAAATATGTAAACAGACCTTTCTGACATGTAAAAAACTTCCTTTAAATGTGTATATGTTTTCTATAAAACATCCTGTTCCTGTTAAATTCTTCCCTACATTCTGCAAGAGGAGGTTTCTGCAAAAATGTAGACACAATATGCAAAGGATCAGGGACATGAGAGATCAAGAGTGGGTTAATACGGCTGCACATGTCAAAATTGCACATATGGCCCTTTCAAGTGACCAAATTAGCCAGGTTTTCTTGGATTTGGACCGGGTTTGTTCTTTTCCCAGGATCTTCAAACAAACATAAGAGCCGTTAAGAACTACGAGGGGCTACTAAAGAAGCATGAAATTAAAATAACTTTAAATCACAATTTGACTTTTTAAAATTATTATTATTTTAAATAAGGATAGAAAGTAAATATTCTCTGGGATTTGTGTGTGTGTGTGAAATTGCCCTAAAATTTTCCTCATACCACCAGAAGAGTTAAGGCTGTTTTTCCAACTCTGGCAAAAGCCTACACAGAAGAGATTTATTTCAGAAAACATTCCCTGTTTTATTAGTGAGATGTGAAGAGTGGGAAAGGAGTGAACAAGACCAAAAAAAAATCTCAACCCCAAAACCTTGTTAAAGACAGAAGTAGTGAAATTGCAACCCAAAGCAAGACCACAGCCCTGCAACCTGAGCCCTTTCAGAGAAAGCCAATGTTTGTATAAGTCATCTTAACCGTTTCTTTGCCCCCACAATTTCATCGTGACAGCGTACCTTGGAGGGCAAAGCTTCGCATTGCAAGCACGGGTCATTGGTGGTGGTCTCTTGGAGTTGTCACACAGGGTTTCATTGACGGCTTCTTTTGTCTCCACGTGCAGACACATTGCAATGGCTTCTTGTGTTCCTGGATCAAAAAGGAAAACACTCATGACACGCTGATCGTGGAAGAGATTTCTGTAAAGCTTATTTCTCAGTAAAAACCTCCAGACACTGAGGTAGATGGCAGACGTAAAATTAACTTTTCAAGTCATAAAGAACACTGAGTTAGTTTACAGATTTAATACTCAAAAGATATTTGTAAATTATATCTAGCACTTCTGTGATATTTAAAAGACTTGATTTGAGATTCTACTGCTCTAAACCCAACAGAAAACAGGTTTCTCTGTCTGTCCACCATCAGATGATACAGCTGCCTGGTTCCATGAAGGCCTCAAGCCAACTAGTAGTTCCACTGCCAAAATCACGGTAAAAGTGATTCCTTCTCATTCCCCTGGACTTTAAGGAGCTGAAGATCTGCAAGAAACGTAATTTAAAAATGCAGAAAACTTGCAAAATTATAGTCAAGAGAATGGCTGACTCGAGAGAGAACCTTTCTCACAGGCACTAAGAGGTGGGATAGTTTTGCTGAAGGCAGCAAATCTGACGCAGCCTACAGCTTTCCTTACTCGTGAACATTCTTGGCACCTTCAGATCATAGAATCACAGACT